CCACATGTCCTAAATTCCTAATCATACGAGTACTCTGTACTCTATTAAAATCCTAATCATACGAGTCAGAATTATTTACAGAAATTAAAATCACAATTATTTTTGTTTAACTTGGCTATAACTTTGTTACAAGTACAACCGCTCAAATATCTCAATCTCAATTTTTTTTTTTTTTTGGTTTGACTAAATGTGTAAAATGACAAAGACTCTTCTCTCTTTGAAAACTAATAAACAAAAAAATTTAGACCCCAAAAACAAAACATAATCAAGTAGAAAGTAGAGCATGCGAGCACGTTCGTTAGGATTAGCAAACAAGAATGGAGAGCACATCATCTCCATTCCTTAAAGCCAACGTCTTCACTTTTTTCTTCACATTTTACGTTTCCTTTCTCTCCTTTTTTCACTGTTTTAAAAACCAAAAGATCCAAAGACTTTAACTTCCCATAAACATGGCCAACTCCAAAAGATTGTTCGGCGTTGTACGGAGGAAACTTCTCCGGCGATCTCACAGCAGAATCACAATCATTCGATCATCCCAACAAACCACTAAAGAAGACATTGCCGCCATTAAAATCCAAGCTTGTTTCAGAGGTCACCTTGTAAGAATGAATAACAAAATCTCTTTGCATTTACAAAACCTTTTTCTCTTTCTTGAAACAAAATGTGACACCATTGTAGGGAAGAAGAGCGTTTAGAGCGTTGAAGAGTCTTGTGAAGTTACAAGCGGTTGCGAGAGGAGTGCTTGTGAGGAGACAAGCTCGAATAGCTTTACATTGTATGCATGCTCTTGCTCGTTTGCAGGTTAGGGTTCGTGCTCGTCAGATCCTCTCTCATTGACTCTGCCTAAAATTTCCCCTGTTTTTTTTTCTTCTCTTAAACCCTATTTTGTGATTGTGATGCTACATAACATTATTGTCCATTTTCTTTAATTCATTCACCGATTGTGATTTTTGTATATGTAATATATAGATAACTCTAACACTCAAAGCATTTTGTACGCTTATTGGCTTATAAACAAGATTAGTCTCTTATAAACAAGATCAGTCTAAGTTATGACATTGTTTTGATAGTACTAAATATACATTTCTAAAAAAGGATCTATAAATGATATGAAGAAAAACCCATCGCAAGCAGAACAAAAGATTTGAATACTTGGGAAAGAAGCTGATGATGTAGGGTTTGGTGGGTACCTTGGATGGGAAGAAAAGGGCAAGCAAGGCTTCCATGGAGACAGGAAGTTTGTATCTGCTACATGAATCTGGAAGTTATGAGATCATCGAATAGGTAAAAAAAGACCATAACAACAACAAAGAGATTACATGTGTCTCCATTTCAACAGACACAAGCGAATACCCATATGCATAGTATAGGTCGATCTATAAAGAAACAAAGTCTGAAAACAGAGATGGGGAGAGTCGACGAGAGAGCACTGAGATATTGGCGCGGCTCAATCAGATATGTATATTTCATAAAAAATAAAAAAAACTCAGGAAGATCTGAGTGAACCAGGCCAATATCAAAGGGACTATTTCGCGCTTAAGTTGCAGATCAAAGAAAAAAAAGGTTGGAAAAAGAAGAAAACAAAGTGTGAGGGGAAGTGTGAGGAGGAGAAGTGAGAATGTTTGTGGGGAGTTTTAAAGGTGAGGAATTAAATTAGGGTTATGAAAGAGAAGGAAAATGGAAGGTATGGTGCATTAATACCACATCTACTACCAATGCACAAAAGCTGGG